ACTAAGAGCGACAATATTGATGACGATAAGAATTTGACCTTGCTACCGAGCTGGAAATCCTAACTAGGATGAATGCGCTAACTATGGATAAGGAGATGAAGGCTGAAATAGACCGATTATCTATTACCCTTCAATTTGAATTAGCAAGAGCTATGTCTCCTTGCATAATCTGGATTCCAAATATTCATAATCTGGATGTGAATGAGTCAAATTCCTTATCTCTTGGTCTATTAGTTAACCATCTCTCAAAGAATTGTGTAAGAAGTTCTACTAGAAATATTCTTGTTATTGCTTCTACTCATATTCCTCAAAAAGTGGATCCGCTCTAATAGCTCCGAAAAGGTTGAATACGTGTATTAAATTACGAAGGCTTGTTAATCCACAAAAAAGAAAGTACTTTTTTTACTCTTTCATCTACTAGGGGATTTTATTTGGAAAAGAAACCTGTTCCATAGTAACGGATTCGGGTCTATAACCATGGGGCCGAATATAGGAGATATTCTAGCACTTACCCAATGAGGTTCTATCAATTAGTATTACACAGAAAAAATCCATTATAGACAATAATACAATTAGAGCCGCTCTTCATAGACAAACTTGGGATTTGCAATCACAGTTAAATTTGGTTCAGGATCATGGGATCCTTTTATATCAGATAGGAAGGGCTGTAGCACAAAATTTACTGATAAGTAATTGCCCCGTAGATGCTATATCGATCTATCTGAAGAAGGAATTATGTAATGAGGCGGATTCCTATTTGTACAAATGGTACTTCGAACTTGGAAGGAACATTAAAAAATTTACGATACTTCTTTATCTTTTGAGTTGTTCTGCCGGATCGGTTGCTCAAGATCTTTGGTCTTTCCCCCGAGATGAAAAAAATGGGATCACTTCCTATGCACTCGTTAAGAATGATTCTGATCTAGTTCATGGTTTATTAGAATTATTAAAAGTAGAAGGCTATCTGTTGGGATCAGAACAAAATTATGGATCTTCTTCTATTCTTGATCAGAGATTTCTATATGAAAACTACGAACAGGAGGATTTATTCAGTCACATAGTTTGGGCTCCTAGACTATGCGTCCTTGGGATTTTCTGTGTAGCGAGCGGATCCTTTATGATCAAGAGGATGAGCTTCAAGAGAATGATTCAGAGTTCTTACAGAGTGAAACCATGCAGTCTAAGACACGAGATAAATCTTCCAAAGACAAAGGCTTTTTTCAATAAGCCAATTTATTTGGGACCCTGCAGATCCACTCTTTTTCCTATTCAAAGAGCAGTCCACGGGATCTTTGTTTTCACGTAGAGAATTTTTTGCAGATGAAGAATTTTCAAAGGCGCTTCTTACTTCCCACACTTCTCAATGGGAGCATCTACTTCGATATAAAAAAACACACCGATTTTATTATAAAGAAGAAGGAACAAAAGCACTTCAAATTTGTGAGTCATCGTCAGAGATGGCTTAGAAATAAGGGTTCATTTTCTAATGAATCTTTCTGTTCTAGTACTCTATCCGAGAGTTATCACTATTTATCAAATATGTTCTTGTCTAATGGAACACTATTTGATCAAATGACAAAGACTTTGTTGAGAAAAAAATGGCTTTTCCAGATGAAATGAAAATTGGATTCATGTAACAGGGGAAAGATCGCGCGATCGCGATCCGCTGCCTAATTGCTTAAAAGAGCTCGGATCGACCAAATCGGTATTTCTATACAGATTTGATCGACCCGAGCTCTCTTCTTCTTGTTAAATTGCACATTCCAAGAGCATTCTCAATAGTATGCCTTGAAGAGGACTCGAACCTCCACGCTATTTAGCACGAGATTTTGAGTCTCGCGTGTCTACCATTTCACCATCAAGGCATCTTCAAAGTGAATCATATTGATCTATATCTAGTGCTAGTGTAATGTATGGAATGGAATAGATACCAAAGTTCGAGTATTCATAGTATTTTTTTTATAATATTTATCTATTTTAATTTTATATATAGGGCCTATCATATAGGCCCGAGTTAGGTATCCAACTGCTTCTATGTTTCAGTATCCGAAGAATATTTTATCTATATCAAAAAATATCCAAAAAATGGACAATCAAACCTATTTCTCGATTCTTTACAAAACAAATAGAGCAAATAGAAATATTTAAAATGAAAGTCTCATTACGTTTATTCCTATTCCTAAATTGAATGGAATAACGGAGGGATTAGGAATCCATATCAATACATTTATTTAGTTTATTTAGATACGTTTTTAAAATTTCTAAGTTCATAATCCTATTGGTCTATCCATATACTAGGTAGGAGTGAAAACGAAAACATTTTGGAGTTACAAATACAAATAGAATTTTGAAATACTTAGCACCACATCAAAACATTCTTACTAAAGCTTCTTTATATTTAATGTACTATAGGGATAGAGAAATGAATACAGTTCAATATAGTCAAATAAGAAATTGAAAGGTTTCGTTCAATTTGTTTGTTTGGAAATTGATTGAAAAG